TGTACTTTTTAAAAAGGGTTTGCTGCTTTTCTCCTCTGGAGCAATTCTCACTTCTCTTTCGGTGGCAGTTCACCTCGTTAAAGGCACAATCCTTGGGGGCTTGTTCACCTCGTTAAAGGCACAATCCTGTATTCAAGAGGGAAGTTTTAGGACGGGGGGGGGGAACCTCTGGCTTGTGGCTTGATCTGCCCCCCAGGGATTCCCCACCCAGCCCCCAGAGCACTTAATTGACTGGCACATGTGTTTGCAGAGCATATGGGAATCACTCAGGCCATGTGAAGCTGGGGACCCAGAAGGTGCTTGGAAAAGCACCCAGCCGTCCAGCACCAGCTGAGCCTGAAGCAGGTGCTGCTCCCTTGGAGATGCCGTGCTCTGTGCAAAGCTGGGGACACAAGAGGTGCAGAGAGAAGCCACTGCTTCTCTCTGGTCCAGCCCAGTCAGTTTGCATGGCAAACGTCATGCTCCTACAGACCCCCAATTTTCCTATGGTCATCTGGACAGCACCTCACCGCCACTGTACTGCACCCTCAGCCTACTGAGTGACAAGCGGTACATACTGATCCTTCCAGCCCTGGAGTACGAGGCTTTCTACAACTGTCAGGGTTCCCTGAATCCCCTTTGTCCGTCCATCTGTTAATCCCCACATCACAGAGATGTAATTTAAAAGTGCATTGCCGTCCACTATCATCACAGAAACCAACCACAGAGCTCACTGAGAGAAGTACAGCTATGTGATTTCTGAGCCAAGCTAGCTACTTTCGTAAGCAGCAGAACTTGTTTGAGATGCTGAAGGTGTTCTCCAGAAACACACCCAGGTTTAGACTAGACATTTTTTGAGGAAAGAACCTACAATCTTTGGCAAACCATGCAAATATAAAAATGCTACTGATGAGGATAGTGGTGCTAAGCTTCCGCAGGGATCCAGAGAATGCTTCAACTACTGCTTCATTCTCAAGAAGACTAGCCTATATGCACACACTCCCCATGAATTGCTTGCCTTGAAGCATGTTGGAGAAACAGGCAGGCAACTGCATGCAAGCAGTTAGTGATCATCTGAAGAGGATGACTCCTGAACATCTGCAAAACGGGGGGTTGGACCCTGTGGCCTTCTAGGCCCCTTCCAACTGTATGATTCTATGAACATCACTCGGTATCCAAAGTCCATTCCGCAACTTCTCAAAGTCAAAAAGTAACAAAAGAAAATATGTGCAAAAAGAAAGCTTTTGGCAATTGCACTTCAGAATTTCTTGCAGTAATAGCCATCAAGGACTTTTAATTAAGATAAGAATCAATATTGCTGATACATTACATTTCATCTTCCAGATAAAATCTACCTGAAACCTCATTTGCTGAAAGTCTTATGAAACAGTTTGTCATAACTGGAATGAAAAATTAGCATGTTTACTTAACATGTTTTCTCCTAAAGGGGAAAAGAAGAAGACATTTCTGTCTTTAACCAATGAATATGTAACATCTATTTGTGAATTTATGTAACATATCTGTATGACTGCACTGAACAGATGCACTAAAATACATCTTCTGAAAGTTGTATTTTATACCTGTGAACCAGCCCTCCTCGCCCTGTTTCCCTCCAGGTGTTTTGGACTACAACCCTCATTATCCCCGACCTTTGCCCATGTTGGCTGAGGATAATGGGAGTTGAAATGCAAAACATATAGAAGGCATGATGCTAGAGACCACTGCTGAGTATGGCAAACCCAAGAGAACAGATATTGCCCTACAAAAGAAAACCTAAACTCCACATTTCTGGGAAAGAAGGGGTGAACTGTTTTGTGGGGTACAGTTTACCATATGGGTTGGATGGCTTTCTCCATATGACTGCAACTTCCCAAAAAGTCCCATTCTTAGATTAGTTGTGGTGAATTTGCTGCTTCTACCTATCAATACCATCACTGTATTGGTAGCATTCAAAACATGACAAGGACACATTATGTACTCGCTGCCCAGACCCTGCAGGTCCCAGGGAGATGCCACACGGACATGGGAAGAAACTGTATCACCCGTCTTCCTCCCTTCCTTTGAAGCTGCTGGCTCACAATCGTGCTTTACGCCTGCAGCTCATGTGAGTGGAGTTCAGCGGAAAGGAGAACTTCCATGTTGCCTCAGCTCCACGGCTTGAAAGGAAGTTTAAGGAAGTAAAGTTTCCTGTTCCATCCACTCTCCTGCAAGCCTCTCCATAAGGTCAAGGAGGAGCCCCCTGGACATGATGCGGCACAGGAGGTTCAGCTCACCCAAAGCACTCAGGCACTTTAGAATCCAAGTCAGTGATTTTCTGGGGTGTCCATTCATGCCTTCTGCAGCCAATGATCAAGCATATGCTGGTACACCAGTGAGACATAAGTAAGTAAGACACATACATGTGTGAACCAGCCTTTGGATCCCATTTCAAATATCTGCACTGCTGTGAAAACAAGCTCTATATCAGCCTTTCCCAACGTGGTGCCTTCTAGATGTCTGAGACTGCAACTTTCCACAATCCCTCACCTTGGTGACTAGGGCTGAAATATCTGAAGGACACCAGGTTGGTACACTACTTTACGCTTTCTGCACTATGCATGGATCCAGATTCTTATTGCTAAGCATTCCAGGCCAAGGTTATTGGCTTGGACCGAGCCTCAGGGTAGTAACAGCCAGGATCCACTGTGGCAAACCACTGCCCACAGCTTACCACCGACTGGCAGCAATAACATGCTGTAGTTTGAACTGGTCTTCCTGTGACAGCCATGTTAATACTTCCTTTTTATTGAGAATTTCACAGTCAAAGCCAAACCAAAACAAAAGGGGAAGGGAATAAAATGATAATAAAAATATTACCATTTCCTATCATGAGATTTAGTACAATAAAAACATATATACTATGTACCCTATATGTTTTATCTACATTAAAAATAGACTACTATATATGCATAGATGTCAAGAAAGGGAAAATTATGCCTAAAAAGTAGCTGTTCAAAAATCTAAAGTTTTATCAAGTCCTTCACCATTGTGTGATATGCTTCCAGCATTGCAATATTAGTAAAGATGCAGAGAATCTATTTGCATGAGCCCTGTGTCAAGTTCCCAGAGGCAGACAGTGAGTTTAAGAAGAATATGTGTATATGTAAATACTAAAGAATTTTCCATCACAAAATGTATCTGGACTGTTACCTCTTCCCAAAACGAAGCAGCCATTGGGCACTGCTAAAACATATGAGTAAGAGAAGTATTAGCTGTATTACATCTCCAGCAATTGGCTGATTGTAAGCCCTTACTGAGAATACAGTAAGACATCCAGTACACTCAAAACGTCAATTTTGCTGAATTAAAGAAAACTTAAGCTCTATTACCCCTTTGAAAAGGATGCCAAAGAAGCAGGCCTTTGACTGGGCAAAACAGAATGCTCCAATGTATTATTCCATTCTTGCTTAAAACCCTGCCTGTCATATTTGTTCAATGATAACAGATATTATAAACATGGTCAGTGTAGTTATTCAGACTAACCCGGTGCTTCCAACAGCAAAGGGGGCTCTGAGGGTGTGCAAGTGGCTGTCTGGAACCTAGATTCAATTTTTCATGGCATGTATCGGCATTCAGCCATTGCTGGCAAATCATATTTAGCACATAAAACATGTGAGGAAGTTATCATGGGGGCCTAAAAGCTGATCCAAACTAAAAATCAGCCTGTCCATTGAAGTCTGCCCAGCAAATGTTTTCTCGTCAATTAAATCTGGATTTATCAGAGTTAATTTTCCACGTGAAAATAAATCAAACTGCAATTGACATGAAACTATGTACCACACCTCTCTTGCTGCCCTAATTCTAGGAAGCACTGCATCTGATTTGGTACACTGAGAACCAAAAGCAATCCATTTCAGACGGGGAACCACACATGAAGGTTCCAAAACTGACCAGGGAGAAAGGTCTAATCTGGGCAGGAAAGACCAAACTTTAGTAGAAGGCAACAAATAGGCCCAATGATATACAGAGACACTTGGGAAGTCAAATCCACCTTCTTTAAGAGAAAACTGCATCCCTTTCAAGGATATTTCTTGTGTAATGTGATCTCACTGGAATTTACAAAACATTCAGCTTTTGAAAATATTTCATGGGTATAGAGAAATACCAACTAAAACATGGAGAATTCAAGGTATTACATTCATTTTAAGTGTATTTACCCTGCTCCATAGACCTAACTTTAAAAGATGTCCATCTATCAATGTTCTATGGGATCTCATTAAACAGAGTCGAAATTATTAACATTGACATTATTGACAAGAACCGTCTATAACCTGCTTGGCCCTCTAATTTACAGGTTGCAGGTTTTATTGGGGCAATCTGTTATTATAGTGTTTGACTGCATATGCACTGCCTGTTTGTATACTGTTTTGTTTAATCCCGCAAGCAACCTGGAGGTTTTACTCTTAAAGGTGGCATAACAGTAGTTTGAAGCGAGTAAGTTCTCCTAGGCGATGGTTTTCTGTAACCCACCCCTTCCGCAGCAGGTCGAAGCAGCCTCTCCGCTTCTGACCTGGTTTTGTTCCGAGGCTGGCCTTGCCTGACCCTGTATTCAAATCAGAGCGCCGCACCGATGCTGCCTGAGTTATGCAAGTGCTTTCGCCGCTTCTTGAGCAACTTTGCGGGGAGAAGTAAACATGCCACGGGGTGGAGTGAGGGGACGCGCTGTGCCCGGGCGGGAAAGGAGCCGCGCCCCGAAAGATCCCTGGAACTGCCGGCGGCGCGGCTCACTCTGCGGCTCCCCAGAGGCGCAGCTTGCTGTCCGAGCGGGAACGAGCGGAGGCGGGCGAGGACAAAGGGGGCAAGGAGTAGGCGCGCCAAGGGCGGCGGGCAGCGTGGAGCATCGGCCAATCAGGCTCCCCGCCGCTTGACAGGCGCCCTCGGCGCCCTATCAGCTGCCGCAGTGACCCGTGCCGTGAGCCGGGGCGGCTGGAGCGGAGTCGCGGCGCTGGGTGCTGGGCCGCCCGGGCGAGGGAGCGGGCGGCATGTGGTCGGAGGGTCAGGCGGTGGGCTCGGCGGCGGCGGCGGCGCTCCTGTTCCTCGTGCTGTTGCTGGTGGTGAGGCAATTGCTGAAGCAGAGGCGGCCGGTCGGCTTCCCTCCTGGCCCGGCGGGACTCCCGCTCATCGGCAACATCCACTCCCTGGCCTCGGAGCAGCCGCACATCTACATGAAGAGGCAGAGCCAGCTCTACGGGCAGGTACGGCAGCGCCGCGAGGGAAGGAGGAGCCAGAGAGCGAGCGAAACTCCTCGCTTACGTCCCCAGCCTGGTGCCCCGTGGATGGCTCGGGGTACAACTGGGGATGCTGGGAGTTGTAGTCCAACTCACCCGCAGGGCATCAGGTTGGGGATAGCTGCGCTCTATAGGACAGACTTCTCCGTCCTCATGCCTTCCGGATGTGCTGGACTACAACGTCCATCAGCTCCAGATCGCGTGGCCAGTGGTGCGGAGTGTGTAGTCCAACATGTAGGGAAAGCACCAGGTTGGGGAAGGCGAACGAGAAGTTTTGCCTCATGTCTGGCTGGAGAGTCGCTTCCTGATTCCCAAAGTCAAAAGCGGCCCCTCCAGATCTTTATCCAACCACTTTATCCAACACATTCAAACTGTGTCAGAAGCGTCCTGTAAAATCACAAGTCTGTTGTTACGATCCCTGGTTGTGGGGCCAACTTCTACCAGTTCTGCTCAAGCTCTGTCAATAGGAAGCCAGGCATTCTGACCAAACACCTATTTTCCCAACCTTCCTAGAACCAGGAGGGCTTGGGATGCAAACCTGAACATACCTACTTGGGAATAAGTCCAACTGATATGAACAGGCTTAACTTTGAACAAGTTATATCATAGTTGTGTTAGATCAGCCTCCCACAACCTGGTATGTTAGATACTGAACCGTTTCTAGTGTCAGAAGTTAATCTTTTGGGCTTCAAAAATGACCCCAGTACGACATTACACCTTGGTTAGAAACAGAACAACAAATCAGAATGCATCCGGAGATGCCAAATGAATAATTGGTCAGCATGCAAACAGTCCATTATCCTCCCCGTGCTAAATAGAAATGTAATGTTTTGTGTTCCTAGAAATGTTGACTGGTTTCTAATGCAGGGGAAGTCACATAACTAGGAACTACAGTCAGGTTGCTATGGTTTTCTTTTAAAACAAAGGTAACAATTGAGGATTCATAATAATCATTCATAAAATAATATCTGTTCACAGGAGAATGTGATCTGAAAATTATTTTCAGAAAATGTCAGAAAATTTGGTAACTCCATTTACATGAACTGTCACTTGAAGTAAATATTTTGACTGGGTATGATACCAATCATATAAACAGACTTTTTAAAAGCAAACTTTTCCTTTGAGTAGTAGAAAGAGTTGGTAACTGTTGGCTCAGGAAAACTGCCTTTGACCTAGACCAGGGGTGGCCAGACTTGTTCAACAGAAGAGTCACATACAGTACATTCCAGATGTTTAAGATCAGCCACAAAATAGGCTCAAATGGCCACATGTGGCTTGCAAGTCTCAGTTTGGCTACCCCTCACTCAGACCTAAATCTGACTGAGAAGTAGCTGAAGTCAAACCTTCATACATTTGGGCCATCGCCTACACCAGCCCTTCCCATCCTGGTCATCTACATATGAGCTAAAGTACTACTTCCACTATCCCAGGGCAGCATGGGCGTGCCATCTGGAGAAATTGGTGTAGTAAAAATATAATAAGTGTTTTATTTTCTTTTTCATTTTAAAGATAAACTGAATGTCTTTGCTCATCTGTTTAATGTAAAGATTCCTGTAACAATACATTTCTTTATAGATATTTTGTTGCAAATATGTATACACCTTAGGAAATATGTGCCAAATTTGTGCTAATGTGTGTAGGTTTGAAATAGGAGAATTTCAGTACATTGCAGTTGGGCTGAATTTTAGTATAGAATCTCTCTTTGTGGGTTCCAGAAAGACCAAATTGTCCTGGCACTGCATATGATAGGGAACACTTATTGGCAGAATCTGGTACTCATGTAAAGCTTCAAATTCCTGATGTGAAATTTTGACATTATAAAAATGTATGTAAATTGCCAGATACATTTTATTAGTATAGATTTTTAAAAGAAAATATTTCTACTTGGTTGAATGAAGTACAATAAATCCTGCTTTTTCATGACACAGATGAGTTTTCATGAGCCCGGGCCTCATGTTTTCCTCCCCTCTTCAAGAGAAAATCGAAAACTTAATTACAGTTCCCCACAGTACCCAAACCCCAGCAACTGCATTCTTATTTGAACTATGTCAATAAGGACAAGAAATGCTACAACTGTGGTTTTAGATCCTGTCTTTCTTCTTGCTAAACATAATTTAATTACATTCCCCAAGTCCAGACATGATAGGGAGCTGCGGTTAGCTTCGGTTTGGAAGCAGACAGTTTCAATGTCCTGCTGCAATGCATGGAAGAGGAGGAGCAGTCGATGCATAATTTTGTGGCTCGTGTCCTCATTGCATGTGAACTGAGCCACCATGTAACCCTGTGGGAAATAGCAGGAAATGCTGCTGCTAGAGTGCAGAGCATTTAACTAGATTTGCAAGTGTAACTAAGACAGTTTCATGTTAGACTCATAGCAATCTATTTCAGACCTGTCTGTCAAAGAAACATACAGTAAGAAGATACCTTTCCTTACCGGGCCTCTTTCATTCTCTTTGCTGAAAGACCGACATGGCAATTCTCCCACCAGCCACAACTGCATTGCTAATCATATTTGGGTACCTCCTGTGACAATACAAGTATCCAGTGCCCTGCAGAAATACTCACCTCCCTTTGATGTTCACCACTTGGAATTCAAATAGATTTAATTGCATTGTTACAACCTTATATACACCAGAGACCGAATGCTGTGCAGGCGTGAAATATTTTTACTGTGGCACAAAAGTTAGATGAACAAAAGGAAACTGGCACTTATTGGTTGCATAAATATTTCCCCACCCCTTCCTTGCTGCAGCATGTCCAAAATGTTCTGATGCAACCCATTGCCTCCAGAAGCCAGTATGAGTAGTTGAATGGAATCCACATGTGTGCAATTTTAGCACAACATGATCTCAGCTTAAGTGCATCTGCTTCTGCAAGTTTAAAGAGTTTGGTGGAGAGCCTATCTAAAGAAACAACGGCATGAAGACCAAGGAGCTATCAGAGCAACTTCAGGATAAAATTGGTCTGAAGCATCAATCAGGGACGGTGATTGGAACTATGAACACTCCCTGCAGCACCATTAAAGTCATTAGGACAAAACTGAAAGTGCATGGCTCAAGCTTGATTCTGCCAAGAAAAGGCCATCCAACAAAACTCAGCCACTGGACAGAGAAAGAGAAGCAACCAAGAGGCAATGGTAACTCTGAAGGAGCTGGAGAGAACCAGCCGAGAAACTGTCCATGGGGTGGCTATAACCTGGATGCTGCACGAACCTGGTGTGTATCAAAGAGTAGCAAGAAGAAAGAACAGATCCATAAGTAAGTCCATTTGAAGTTTGCAGAAAGCAAGTGGGAAAGAGCTGCTCTCATCTTATGAGACCATAATGGAACTTTGGGGACTTGTGGTGCAAAGCCAACCGTGTTTATTGTCCGGGGAACACCGTCGCTATGATGAAGTATGGTTGTGGCAGAATCATGTGGTGGGAATGCTTTGCCTTGGCAAGGAGTGAAAAACTGGTCAGCACTGAGAGCAGAATGGATGGGGCCAAATACAGGGTATTTCTAGAAGAAACCTGTTTCAGTCAGTAGGAGACTGGGACTGGAGCAGAGGTTCCCCTTCCAGCAGGACAAAGACCCTAAACACACAGCCAACACATTACTGAAACAAGCACCTGTGTCTTAGAATGGCCCAGTCAACCCCCAGACCTTAGTCTGGTTGAGAATCTGTAGCAAGACTGCTGTCCATCAGAGGTGCCCATCCAACCTGACAGAGCTGGGGCATTTTTGCCAGGAATAATGGGCAGACATTGCATGATTTAGGTGCGCAAAGCTAATAGAAACTTACCCAAGAAGCTTTGCAACTGAATTGCTACCCAAAGATGCTTCTACCAAGTATTTGACTCTCTCTGTGTTAGAACACTTATGCAACCAAAAAGTGCCACTTTCTTGTTGTTTACACAGCTTTTTGCCATAATTTGGTGCCTTCTCAATGTTGAGTATCAGGTGTGCCTCAAACAGTGCCAATCAAATCAATTTCATTTTGTAGGTTCAAACATGACAAAATGTGGACAAGTCAGAGGCGAGCGAAATACTGCTGCCAGGCACTGTACATAATCCCTCCTGGGAAAGGGCAGGAGGGACATTCTCTGTGTTTGGTGGTGACAAGTCTGGCCAACGCACAGGACTGGGGTGGTTATATTGGTTCATGATAACATTACATGTTCATACATAAACTTGTGAGCCAACTATGAATGTAGGCAAATAGTACTTGTTATAGAAGGCAAATCTTTCTATAATTAAATGTTGTGCTGCTCACCTCGCAACTAGAGAATTAGCTATATGTATAACATGTATATAATGTAATACTTTTGTAATGATGAAATGTGATAAGTATTATTTTGTACTGTATAACCATAACTTGACATCATCTCTCTGTTATTTTAGACTGATGATAATGATGATGATGGTGATGTTCAATATCTTTTCTTATTTTGAAAGATCTTCAGTCTTGATCTTGGAGGAATATCCACCGTTGTACTGAATGGCTACGATGCAGTGAAAGAATGCCTTGTTCAGCAAAGTGAAGTGTTTGCAGACAGGCCGTCTCTTCCTTTGTTCAAGAAGCTCACCAAAATGGGTGGTAGGTGCTCTTGTTACCAATGTTTGGCTTGCTTGTTGATGTTTGTTTTGTTGAAGCTTATTGCATTCAGCATTTGTTTTAAATATACACAGAACTCTCTTGCCTATTTAAGACTTTAAAGAAATAACAATGAAGCGATTTTCATCAACGATCTGTACTTTCTGGTGTGCTCTGCAAAAGCCCTTGTGCTCTGTTATGAATAACAAATTTGAAGCTGAACTTGCCAGCTGATTGGAAACATCACACTTTGAAGCCTTCCTGCTGAGTTTGAACGTCCTCAGTTGGCTCTTGGGTTCTGCATTGCTATACCATGCATGCAAAAATAGGTGTTTCTAATCATCCTTCTATTTCTGATCTTCAGGGTAGAATGCCAATGCTTGTGTAGCAAAAATGACACCACCCACAGCCAAGGGAAGAATCTGCAGTTGCAGGGAAATCCTGAAGTACGCAGGAGAGTGTGAAAGGAGGCAGAATGGAAACAAAGTTGAAACTGTCTGTGGGATATTCGCACCAGGCTACAGAGGCTTTTTAGGGTTTCGCACACTGCAGAAAATGTGGCTCAGGAACTCTGTGCATCCTTCTCTGTGCCATAGTGGAGGATCAGAGCTTGTTTCCAACAGCCAGTCACTCCAGCGTGGACCTAGATGAGGGCGGATGAGAAGGAGGGATGCATGACTTCTTCTAGCACCTCCTTTCCCAGATGGCCCCCTCCCTCTTGGATTAACCCCCTGTTTCCCCTCTGCCTTCCACCCCATTCTGCTGCTAAGGGTTCTGGGGGTAGGGGAAGACAAGGAGGGATTGTAAAGGGAGGACAGGAGATGAGCCAGACCATCCAAATAGTCCTGCCTTCTGTTAACACTGTGGCTGCCTGGCTGCCCCTGGGAAGCCCACAAGCAGGACATGAATGTAACAGCATCCTCCCGCTCATATTCGCCATTTACCACTGTACAGAGGCAGCTGCTGTTGATACAGGAGACAGCATAAAGTCCTCCGTGAATTTCTCCAGTCTCCTTTTAAAGCCATCCAAATTGGTGGCCATCGCTGTTGCAGGCCAGGCAAGGGCACCCACACAGTGAGGGACGGGGGTGATCCTCTCCCATCCTCTTGGCAGGGTGCGGCAGGTGCCTGCAGAACAGCTGTTAGGAAGAGCAGCTTGACTCGGTGCTGCCAGTGGCAAGGAGTGGTCAGGGTGGCCCTCGGTACACACAGGTCTTCACTCATCCATAAGCTAAGGCAACATGCTTCAAAGAAGCATGGGAACTTTTTGCGGCAGGTCTCCATTTGATGTGGGCCACCTCTTTCATATTCCTGTATTAGAAATAAGTGATCCTTTACACACAACTCTCCCAACTGCAGATTTACTACCCACAGTGTTATCAATTGTTGCAAAAGAGCCGGCTAAGCATTAGCAGATTTGTCATGGCTTGGAAATCCTGACTTCAGGGATTCAGCATCAGTTTCATTGGCATTTCCTCCCTGTATCAGAAGAATCAGTGGGTTAATGAATTAACTCCCCCACTGCTGGGCATTCAAAGTGCCCTAGGCTTATTTTCTCAAGGTGTGATGAATGGGACCTGGAGTGCACTGTATCTCATGTTCTTTATTTCATTGTACATTTCTTTAGACATGTTGTAGAGGAGTTGCATTTCTTAACTCTCAGCTTTAAAAGTAATCTGTGTTATAAACTTTTGGTAGCTGTTTCACTGGCACCAAGCTAGCCATATCAAAACTGGTGTGAGCAAGTTTGTGTGGTACCCTTGTAAACAGACATCTAGAATCCCTTGTGAAAGATGGAGGGGATGCTGAACAGAAACAACTAACGGGATCCCAGCTGGCTGTGGTTTAGTTCTGTGCATTTGTGTCTGATACGCTGTTTGCCTGGCAGTCAGAGCTGGTTGATCAGAAATGCTGCTAAAGAATGTGCCAGATGAGCACCTTCTAGTGGTAACATGCCGCTAAAGCAGTTGTAGTTGAAAAGCATTTCTTTCATTGTACGTTAGCAACCTGTGAGTACAGAGTCAAGAGTTAGAAATACACCCATCAAGATGAAAAGGTTCTCCTGGATTCTGAAAAGTGTCTTCCTCATCAGAACAGAACAGGACCTACATTGCTGAGTGCTTTTCATTCTACAGTTGGTGAAAAAGGCCAAGTTTGTGCTTCGTGATTGAAGCTGCAATTTGAAACATATTTGTTAGGGAGTAAATACGATTAAATACAGTGGGGCTTATGAGAAAGACATATAGAATTGTGCAGATCTTTCAGTGAAAGCTCTGGAAAGCTTTGAGTGAAAGCTCTGGAAACATGTGGCATCTTTGATTTAATTCAGTTACAAATAAAGTCAGCATCTGAGCAGCAAGTGCACTCCTCTCACTTCACCTTTTCTGCAGCACCTTTTCAATGAGCAGGTGCCCCCTGCAGTGGAGACAACAGTGTTGGTCTGATTCTGGCAGTTTCACCCACCGTATTCAACAGCACAGAGGTGTATAAATAAAAGAGCATATAGAAACTTGGAACAAGTAATTTAACATTTAGCAAGAGAGCCACAACATCAATCCAAGACATCATCTTATTCTCAGTAGCAGTTTTTTCTCAGCCCAGATCCCTGTAGATGTACTGGGTCACAGTTCCATCATTCCTGACCCTTGGCCATGTTGACCAGCACCAGTGGGGAGTTGTAGTGGAGGACATCTGCTTTTGAGGATAATGCGATGCCCTCAGTAGGGCTGTTCAAAAGAATCTGGCAGTCTATGAAGAGTTACTGTCTCTTGTCCGTATGCCTAAACACACACACTCCAGATCCAGTCTCGCAGGTAACTTGCTCATTTGGGAAAGTATTTGTATTCCTTAGCTCTTTTTTAAGGGGGCCACCAACTAATCAGTTTTTACTATTAGTTTAATAAAGGATCAACAACTGTAACAGTATGCAGAATTGTAAACACCTCTATCATGTCTCCCCTTTCTTTTTTTTGTAAGGGGGTGTGCCCCAAATCTGTTAGGACAGGTCACCCAGCTTTGTGGAGCAGATCTGGGGTGTGAATGAGGGAATTACCTAGACAAGGGAAGGTCCATTCCACTAACGGTCGACCTCACTGGATCCAGCCCCATGTCTTTGCATATATGTATGTACCTGTTACCATAGATACAGGGCAGAGGTGAAAAAAGAAAAGCAAACAGAGAAAGCAGCATCCTGGGTTAAACATGTCGATACTTGTGTATTTCAGGTTTATTGAACTCAAGATATGGCAGAGGCTGGACAGAACATCGCAAATTAGCTGTAACCTGTTTTCGGGTTTTTGGATATGGTCAAAAGTCCTTTGAGAGCAAAATATCAGAAGAATCCATGATTTTCCTGGAGGCTATTGATACCTATAAAGGCAAGCCTTTTGATCTGAAATACTTGATAACGAATGCAGTTTCAAATATCACTAACTTGATTATTTTTGGAGACCGATTTACATATGAAGATACTGAATTTCAACATATGATTGAAATATTTAGTGAAAACATTGAATTGGCTGCTAGCGCGTCTGCATTTTTGTATAATGCTTTCCCTTGGATCGGTGCCTTTCCCTTTGGAAAACATCAACAGCTCTTTAAAAATGCAGCTGAAGTTTATACTTTTCTGCTCTGTCTGATTCAGCGTTTCTCCAAGAATAGGAAGCCTCAGTCTCCTCGACATTTCATAGATGCATATTTAGATGAGATGGACAAAAATAAAAATGATCCAGAATCTACATTTTCAATGGAAAACCTGATTTTTTCTGTTGGAGAGCTCATAATCGCTGGAACAGAGACTACAACAAATGTTTTGAGATGGGCTGTGTTGTTCATGGCGCTTTATCCCAATATTCAAGGTAAGTGTTGCACCCTTGCTGTGAAACCCTGGCCCTTGCGATTCAGCGTCTGGATCCCGAGTGGGGCTTTTGTGCCTAGCCTTGGTCAGTACTGATTGTGTGAGATTTCTGCTGTCTCACCTGGCCCAACTGATGCCCACCCTATTTGCACATCTAGTTACTCTTGAAAGATTTTGGATGTTTCTTTCTCCTCCTTTCTGTGGCGTGGTGTATTTGGCAGGGAGGGTATGCTGACGGGTGGATTTCTATGCTTAAGTAACGCTCAAGGAAGGAATTATAATCCTCATAATTACTTGACCGTGAGCCTTACTTGCCGTTGTTGGTGGCACTGTACTTGTTTGAAATGTCTGGTTTTTGTCGTCAGGATATCGCTGCCTCTTTCATTTTCCAGCAGACAAAAAAGCTAGACTGTGTATGTGTGAGATGGAGAGAGAAGGGAGGGGAGAGATGGGATGTTTCATAAAAAGGTTATTCTCAAATAGCATCAAAGTCACCCTCCCTCTGCCCATGTGAAGAGTGGATTCCAAACTGAAGATCCCCTCCTCCCTTCCAAACCTGCTTGGAAGTTCCTGCTGCTTGTGGGACAGATGGTGGGAACACTGGAGGTTACTTAACTGGCCCACTCGTTTGACTTGGCAGCAGCTCACTAGGTTGATGGATTCACATCCCTCCTTCTCAGACCTTATTTGCTGTACAGTGTCCCCCCTTGAACCCAAGGCAACTCCCACTGGTTAATCTTGCCATTTTCATGCCACATCCCAACCCCTCTTCTGTATCTAGTTGCCATTCTTTCTCTGAACTTTCCAAATGAAAATGCAGTGCTTTGAGAGAAGCAGGCCCTATAATAGAGTATATTAAAATATTTCTTGCCTTACTTGCCCCTTTAGCAAAATGTATCCTGACACGCATAAAGTGCATGTAAAAGGCTGTTAGGAAACAACTTGTATTTGTAACACAAGAAAGCAGCAAATGTTACTTGCCAAAAACTCTATGAAGAATCCACAAAATACTAAAACACTTACTGGAAGTTCACATTTAAAACTGGAAAAAATCTAATTGGACTGAAAAATTAGGTCTGGATACATACAGGTCACAAATTTACTGTGATGTCCATTACATGGGTGTGGGTACTCTGTTCTCTTTGATGTTAGATTTGCTGGCCTGCTAGCAGAACTGGAATTCTATGCTGGAAGTCCGGGCTTCCTTGGGGTTGGTGGTAGTGTTGGGATACATGGGGGTGTTACTGTGCACCCCATGAGCAATTTTCACATTACTAGGCATGATAATCAGATCTGTGGACAAGAAGAAGCTTGGAAACCTTGCACGGGGAGCAGATGGGCGGCCGAGTCAGCTGACATTAAAGTTGGGCTAGAGGAGAGGAGCTGGGGATGCAACAGACATACACAAAACCCTCCGGAATAACTTCTAGTGTCAGCACGTTTCAGGCAATTATCATAGCTGGGTTAGTAAAAAGACACAACTAAATGGTTGCCTGAACCAAAGGTGGCTATTGACCTGGGGACAACAGAGCATTGCAAGAAAATGCTCTTGCTCAGTGACATTCATTCCCCAGTCAAATAAAAACCACTAAGACAAGTTAGGAAATGTCTGTAGAATCATAGAAGTAAACAAAACGCCATGAGAAATGAAGTGGCAGGTTAAGAGTGTGGCGGTCAGCGTCTCCTCATCCTTTGTTCAGTCACTTGTGAAGCTGTGGCAGTAAAAGGAGGATACAGAGTTGGGAGCTCCCAGCAGGCAGCGATCCCACCCACCGGTGGTGTATGCACTGGGCAGGGGTTTTCATTTCCTCTTGTAGCCTTTGTCAGCAAATACCACATTATCATTCTCTTGGTTTTAAGGTTTAAAATCTAGTCTGTTAGCAGCTATTTATATAGTAATTATGTCGAGGGTTCAGAAAAACTGCATCTCATGACCCCAGCGATATACAGACAGGAAATAGGAGCCTGTCCAGCTAAGACAAGGCCTGCTTAATCTATTGTACGTAAATTCCTCCTCCTGCTCCTGGTGGCGAGGTATTGCAATGCCTTTGTGGGTTGATCAGACTAATTGAGGGGAGTCATTGTATGAGTCAGTGGCAAAGAGTTCCAAAGCACTGTGCTGTAATAAATCCTTAATCAGTACGCTTTTGTAGGTTGGACCCCATCGTTCCAAATGGATAAAGCACAATGGTTTCTTAGTTGAAGTGTGTATGTATAGGAGGGGGCGGGTTTCACAAGTGCTACAGACAGCCGTAAGTATGTTGCTGTTCTGTGCAGAGAACAAATGTTGAGATGAAATTGGAAAGGAACGCGGCAGATATTGTACTGATCAAATATGTTAAGGATAAATACCACGTCTACAGTTTTTCACCAAATCGTTGACCGTTCCTTAATAAACCGAAAACTTTTTTTCTTGACAGGGCAAGTTCATAAAGAAATTGATTTAGTCATTGGGCCAAGCAAAGCACCCTGCCTAGAAGATAAATGTAGAATGTCATACACAGAAGCCGTGCTGCATGAAGTTTTGCGCTTCTGTAATATAGCTCCACTAGGTATTTTCCACGCCACTTCAAAGGATACGGTTGTGTGCGGTTACTCCATCCCTCATGGAACTACAGTAATTACAAATCTCTATTCAGTACATTTTGACGAAAAGTACTGGACTAACCCAGAAATGTTTTGTCCTGAGAGATTTTTGGACAGTTCTGGACTGTTTGTCAAGAAGGAAGCCTTTGCTCCTTTTTCTCTAGGTAAGAGTTCATACTTACCCATGAAACTAGAAGCAACACATTTGTGAACTGAGGAAAGGCGATCAGTACAATGCACTATTTGGCCAAGTAACAAGTAACAACAAGTATCTTGCTTTCATCAACTACTTCATTTTAAATTATGTATTTTTAATTAATAAAACACCAGTTCAGCACCAAGATATTGATGAAAGACTGGACTACTCAGTGTCTTTCTGTGGAAGAAGTCAGTAACCTGCTCATCTAAGAATCATAGTCATAGGACTGGCTTCTGGTTAGGGGGTTTCCTCAAACCTTGTCTGCGTTCTTGACTGCTTCTTGCCTGTCTCTGCTGCTCTCATGCATTGACAACATCAGCGTGCTTCTCATGCTTGAAAATGATGTGGCAATGTGTGCGCATCCAGGACAGGAGTGCATAAAGATCAATTAAAGGGGCACTGGACCGGGGAATTAGGTGAGGGCAGCTTGCCTTGCTTTCTAGTTCGTGGCTTGCCTAGGGCTACTTGCCTTGAGAAGTAGCAACTGCAGCCTTCTCTGGCTTTGTTTGAAGACTTCACTATTCCAGGGGAAAACTTGTGTATTCTTGCAACAAATGCCTTAATTGGAAAATGACTTCTGGGTGCTGCACAACCTTTATATAAGGATAGGCTTGGATTCTGTGCTGTCATTCTGCGGATAGAAGCCGTTGTTCCAGCAGAACCGAGAGTGAGGTAGAATCGTAGGTGAGTAGAGTTGGAAGTGGCCTGTGAAGCCATGGAGTCCAGCCCCCTGCTCAGTGCAGAATTCCAAGATAAAGCACCTTTGACAGATAGCTGCCCAACTGTCTCATGGATGCCCCTGGAATTCTGCTTGGGAGGACCGGAAACTCTCCAGAACGTATTTAGGGTGGTGTAAGTGGGCTGCAGGAGGGATGAGAGAGAGAGAGAAGGTCTCATCACTTTAGTGGGCATCCACTAGCATGGTGTTGAACTTATTTATAGAGTGATCCTAGCGGAAGCCCAATTTGAGTGTCAAATAGCTTGATATGTTCATTATTTTCTTTACTCTTCTTCATGGAAAGCTTTATCCAGGCACATCTGTTGCATTCCAGCATTTGAATTCTGAACAGAGTCTAAAAAGCCATAGGATAATTTGGAATTCCAGCTGCAACTGGGGAAGTTGCTCCAAGGGTGGAGCTGGGACTCCAGACTAGGAGCACCTTCCCCACCCTCGCAGCCGGTGTGGAAAGAGCCATGCCAGCTGTGGCAGCAGGAGCAGGGACTCACTTTGGGGGCAAAGAGGCAATGCAGATGCCAGCACTGGAGAGCCAGTGTGGTGCAGTGATTAAGAGCAGGGACTGGGACTCAGGCGATCTGGGTTCGAGTCCCTGCTCAACCATGGAGCCAACTGGGTGACTTTGGGCCAGTCACAGACTCTCAGCCCAACCTACCTCACAGGGTTGTTGTTGTGGGGAGAAGATGGAGGAGGAGAATGATGTAAGCTGCCTTGAGCCCTTTGTAGGAAAAAGGCAGGATAGAAATCGAAAAATAAATAAATAAGTATGCAGTGCCTGGGCAGTACCTCAGCCTCCTCTCATTGCACGCTGAGATCCGCCCTTGCTGGCTGAACTGGCGTGTCTCCATGTTCAGCACAGCAGGAAAAAAGCAGAAGCAGCCTTTGCCTCTGTGCTTTTCCTGCCGTGTATAGGATGCCCATCATTCTCTCACTCGGAGGTTATGGCCACCATCATCAGACTGCACCCATTTGGACCTTTTTCAACAAATCGGCAACAAACTAGACAAACTTTGTTTTCTAAATTGACCCCCTTTAACTGCGGTTATTATAGAATGAAATGTATAAATGCAAACAAATTGTTCTGGGTTTGGCAAAGATCAAGTGATGGCTTTGCTGTTTAAAATGTATAGTTATTTTGCTTTTATTCTAGATGCATTACAGTTGCTCCTTGATAATAAAAATTTTTATTTCAATACTATTTCTTCATTTTCTCCCTTCAGGACGAAGGCATTGTTTAGGAGAACAGCTGGCCAGAATGGAAATGTTTTTATTTTTTACGTCATTACTTCAACGATTTCATCTGCATTTTCCTAGTTCTTGGACTCCAAACCTCAAGCCAAAATTAGGCATGACTTTGCAACCTCATTCATACCTTATCTGTGCAGAGAGACGATATTGAACCCAAAGGTGGTAGCAATAGATCAAAGTGCAGGGACCAGGAAAAAATGGTGAGATGATAAATAAAGCCATTGCTTCTTTGACTTAATCGTCTAAATGCTGCCTGGGTGCAAAAGAACAGAACCAAAACCTGCTGTACACAATAGCGGGATTTCCAATATGTGCAAGGGGAGTTGTTGTTGTTGCTGTTACCTGCTGTCAAGTCTCTTTGTTTAATGATGCCCCTATGAGTGAAAGCATTCCAAAATGTCCTATTTATGACAACCCTGTTCAACTCTTGTAAATTCCAGGCTGTGGCTTCCTTTGTTCTTTATGGAGTCAATCCAAGGTGAGGAAAGGAGTTAATTTTTGAGGGGAGTGACCTTAAAGATGCCCTGTGACTCTGAAATGTAGAAACCAGGATATGAGTGGTAATTTGTAGCAAGACAAGAACCTTCTCTATTCAAGCTCATTCTCTTAGAAAAGCTCAAAATGGCTATCAAGCAGCTGATAGAATCTCTCCATCTGATTTCTGATGCCTTCTAGGCAAGGACCATCTGTTTTACATGTATTGAAGAGCTGTGCCCTCCTTCAGCCAGTTCAGGCTCTGACAGCTTGGATTAAGCATTTATCCCTCAGTTTAGAGATACATATTGGAAAACATCTCATTGCTGCAGGCAGCTCAGATGTGATATCTTTATACCTGCGCATCACTTCACTGATACTTTCTGCAACCCTTTTTGGTTAAGGACCTGAACTGAGTGACTGACTGGGACCATAGTATACCTGTCCTAAAAGATTTACATGGGATGCCAATTACTTTGTATGTGCAACTCCTTGTTCTTTTTAACTTTTGACGCCTAACTGAGTTGGGATCTCACTATCTAAGGGACCACCTGTCTTGCTAGGAACCTACCTGCCAGCCTGAGTATGAAGATCTGCAGAAGAGAACTTGTTATGGGCTCTGTTTTCCACAGAGGTCCCTTTGTTGTGCCTGTATGAAAGGGCTTTCCTCCGGGTTGCCACCCAACTGGGATATGTTCCTTTGGGAACTGTGATCAATCCCAAATCCCTTGGCTTTTAGAAAGGGCGTAAAGGTGCATCTTTCAGTTTAATCTTAAAAGGTATAGTTTTAATGTTTTAACAATTTTAATATTCTTGTTTTTATTGTTTTACAATGCTATTTTAAATAGTTGTATCCTGTCTTGTATATAAATGTTAAAACTAAATAAATAATAATGATCCCACATGGATGAAGCTGGTATTAATAAAATATTTAATCAAACAGCTTTAGAAATTACACTCCTATATAGCCAGGTAATGCCTAGTCACTTTCACCTTTTGTTGGCAATGCAGGAATGTCATATTTTAAAATTCCTAGGAGCCAGATAAAGAATCTCAGCAAGGGACTGTGTAAAAAGGGATTGCAACAACCCACTGGATCTTGCTAATGAAACATTTTATTTGGAAACAAAACCACTTATATCTTTGCTGGAGGCTTATCTTTGGAAGCACCTTCTTAATAATAGTGAATATATCTTTGAACAGCTAAGATCAATATTTCTTTTGCAATGAAATTACATAGGTACAGTAAAAGGCTATGCAAGAAAACTTCAGATTTGTGTCCATTGCATTTAAGAAGCAGCTTCACTTTGTTGATTTGGTTTCTTCTTGCTTTGAAGGGTCACTATTTGATAAACAAGGACAGTGTCCAGCGGGGTGCTAAGTCACGCCCCCACCAGTTCTCTCGTGTGAGTCATGTTGGTGCACCTGGATTCATGGGACTCAACATTTGCACAGCAGAGATCTGATGCTTCCCAGAAGCAACCCCAAAACAAGAAGAACATGGATTGGAACAAGTTGGTGAAGCTGCTTTCGGTGCGCTTTGCTGGCCTGTCCTCTTACAGAAATGAGTATTTGGAACTTTTGTTTCCCAAGGAAGTCTCCATTCTGCAAGCTTAGGCTGCCACATGCGGATGGGGATTGGTGGGGCTGAAGGGGCTCAAGCAGCATGTTGGATATTGCCCAAAGCTTTGTGTATGTGGACCAGTGATTTAAATGAGAAAACCGCAATGAATCTTGGACATTTTTAACAAAAATGTATTAAATTAACAGGACTCATTAGGTCTTTTTAGGACATTGAACCATGCCAAACATGAGACAAATAGATCCAGAGGGTTTTGTGTTGGGCACCTTTTTAAATTAAAAGCATTTAAAAATGTTTCTACCCCCCCCCCCCCGTCACTTTCTGTCTCTCTCAAAAAGCATGAAAGTCACAGGAAAGATTTCGACTAAAGTTTACGTTCATTGGAGAAGAGGCTCCAGAGTTACTCGTTATCCATTAAAATCTATGCATTTGAGGCTTCTGCTTATTAGCATAAACTGACAGAGGATGGGAAGCTGCTCCTGAAAAATGGCAGGTATCAGGAGAATGTGATTGAAAAGCACTCACAGTAGCAGGAAGAGGAACGTTAAGGCAGGTGCTGCTTGGTTCAGGGACACAGACAAAGAAAGAAAATCTTGAAATAACAGGCTTGAAAGAAGGAAGTGAAGACAAATAGCATGTCTGTTTAAGGCAGGAATCAGCAACCCACGGCTCTGGAGTTGCATGTGGCTCTTTCATCCCTCTGCTGCGGCTCCCGGTCACTCAAAAGACGCGTCACAACTGCCAATGTGCGACACCCACCGGCACGCCTTTTATTGAGCTTTTCGACCCCCTGTAGACCAACCATGGATAAATCCAAGAAAAGCAAAGTTCCAGAAGCAAACAGAACTTTTAAATGGTACGTGGGCAGATTCATTTGCTTTCACTGCTGACAAGACTGGTTTACTGGTATACTTAATATGTGGTGACAGATTGGCAAACAAAAAGTCGAATGTTGCAAGACATTTCCAGAATAAACACACAGCCTTTGCTGAAAAATATCTGGATGGAGATGCAACACACTATAGTTTTTTTATACATGGCATAAAGGTAAAAAACGATAGATGCAGTGTTATCTTCATTTTAGATATCAAAAGGGTTTTGGGGCTCCCGGTGTTTTCCGTGGGAAATGGGTCCAAATGGCTTTTTGAGTGGTTAAGCTTGCCAACCCCCGGTTTAAGGCATATACACAGGGAGGAGTGCAACTCAAAGCAACTGCACTGGGTGCAAGACCTTTTCCTAAAGTATGACAGACAAATTCTTTCATCAGTACAAAGTAGAGAAGAGCAAGTTGAGCTTTGCTCCCTTCCTGCTTCTTTCCAGCTGAAAGGCTCCTGGCTGCCTTACTGCTCATGCTCCAGTGTTTTGGTGCACAACGGCACAGAAATAAAACCTGTCGTGCATGATTTAATGGTGGGAGAGATGGGATGCTCTGGCACTAGGGCGGGAGAAGAGGAGGAGTTTGTGTCTCCCAGGCATTTGGTGCAGCTTCAGTGTAGACTGACTTTGCACAGTAAGGAACCCATCACAGGTAACTGGCCATGGTGGGTTGTTGCATCATCTGAAACCAAGGCACTTCCACTGAGTGGCTTACAATTAGCTGCATCAACCCAGGCTTCAACACACAATAGGTGAACACGGGACATAATTTCATCTTGGGTTGCAGGAGTCTGGCTAGTGAGCAGCTCAGCAAGAGCAGCAAATGCTCCTTACTGCTCTTCACCATCTCACCTGTGCCAACCCCAGGGACACGCCCTGCACCGATGCCCAAGCAGCCCTTTGGGCCAACTGTCACTGGTCTGACACTTTTTGCCTGCCCCAGATGGAAGTGTGAAGTTCTTCATGATTTTTTTAAGGTTGTGGTGATTACAGTGGTGTTTCAGAATTAAGAACACAAGGAAAACCATGCTGGATTAGACCAGTGCTCCACCCAGTCCAGTGCTCTTTTCACATGGTGGCAAACCAGCTACCCAGGATCCTTCAAGCAGGGTGGGCACAACTGGTCCATCATGCCCAGCTGATGCATGCAGGCGTGCTGCCTCTGATAGGAGAGGCAGCAAAAGGCCAGCAGGAGTAGTAATCACTGAGGGACTTCTCCATGAATTTGTCCAATCCCCCTTTAAAGCTTGACCAATTGGTAGCCATCACTACTTCCTGTGGAAGTTCATGCCATAATTTAACTTTGCATTTCCTTTTTATTTTATTTTTATTTTTGCATGTTTCAGCTCTCAAAGTGTATTTGGTAACATCAACGGAAATAGCAAAGTAAATTCCATACAGGAATAGTTGTGCATAGTTGCAAAGTTGTCAGCTGAAAATCAGCAGTAAAAGGGTAGAAAGTGGGAGAATTAGGTGCGTCAAAGGGGAGTGGAGAAAGCTGGATTCTACCACTGAAGAGACTGGGATACTGGCTGGAAGGCCTAGGGGGAAGGTGGGGTAGAACAAGCCACTGTCAGCCTAATCATCTGTTGGGTGTACTGTGGATTGTACTGTGAGCAACCCATCCACTATGGCTTCTCTGCAGGGTGTCATAGCATGCCAGATGAACCTGTACATAAACTTGAAGGTCTCGGGGGTCTGAGGCTGCTGAGGCCTGTGGGATCACATCTCCCTTCCTTCTTTGGGTTTCTTGTCCATTTGAGTCAGTCTGTGTCTTGCGTTGGGCACTCAGGGTAAATTAGAGAGCAGTGCCCAATTAAACTTGCATGGGATTGTGACTTCAAGCAGTAAACAGCTTGGGACTAGGTTATCTGAAGGAGCATCCCCCTCCCCAATAAATTTAGCAACCAGAGACTAAGGTGATTGAGATTCTGCCTCAAGCTTTGCTGCTGAGCTTGCCATTGTTTAATGAATTTCTCTCAACTGTACATCTCTTTGGATAGCTTTCAGGCAGAAACCCATCATAAGTAGATCCACATGGGCAAAAATTAATGTAAATTCTGTGATGGTTGGATGCTTAATAGGTAGATGATGATACACTTGTGACTAAGCATCCATTCCCATTAAGGCTGTAATTGGATGGATGAATTAATCCGTTAAAGCTTTAGTTGATTGGTATGACTTACCCCATTTCCTTGCAATCATCATTCTGCATGCGCATCTGCATGAGCACACACATGCGCAGAGCGGGACATTAACTGATACCCATTGCAGGCTATGAAAATAAGTGTTCTTCATTTCTTAAACAGGAAGACTGAGAGATGACAGAAAAAACCCACATTTTATGCACTTGCCTCTGCTAATCCGTTGTTGCTAATGTCTTGCTTCTGAAAAAGCCTGTGGGTTTATTTCTTTCGCACCAACAAGTATTCAAACGGTCTGAAGGGTTCCATGTGCCCCAGTTTACTGGAAGCTTTTGGGAGGGGAAATGTAGCCCTGGTGGAAAAGACACACACATACAAATACTTGCTTCTACTCTGTTTCCTTTTGAGTACAGAAACAAAGACATGATTTTCATTGCGGCAGTATATATTTGAAACACCGATCAGGGCAAAGACTTTGTTGAAGAGGGACTTAAAACTGAAGGTAAAACAAAACTGCTGGCAAACTAGAAAGGACAGAAATGAAATACAACAGCACTTCAGCTATCCAAACTCCATGGGAGAAAACAAAGAGGTGCTGTTATGAAGAATCTTATAGAAAATTCAAGAATTAGATAATGGGCTTGCTGGAAAAACCTTTCTTTGGTGTTATATCTCTATCAGGTTGCATAAAGAACTTCAGGAGCCCCAGAGAGGCCAAGCTTTTAAAAGGCTTAAAATATTATTTATACATGCATGCATGCGTTTGTGTGCGCGCAGGCACACACAGCAGTTCCTGTGAAGAGAAAGAAGAAACAGTTTGGCTAACAGCCAGGCTGTAATATCACTATACCAGCAATTTTTCCTGAGCACGCTGGACTCATTAAATTAATGGATTGCATTAATAGAACAAACATTAATGCATAGATAACCATTTCCACAACCAGTGCAAAGCATCTTTGGTTACAGTTCCCTGGTCCTGCACCCCTCCATCCAGCTGGGTGCAACCAATGTCGCAACTAATGTTGCGATCTTTGACATTTCACCTGTGTATGGCCATCTCACCTCTGCCTCCTTGTGGATCCACCAGCATCTGGATCTTCTGAAATGCGCATGCAGCACCAAGGCACCGTGCCTGTGCGCCATCACAGGCCCAGTGCTGTGCCAGAACTGAATGTCAAAGCGAACCTTCTCCCTCATGTTCCTATATGCGGTTTGCAGTTTCCAGCAAATGCCAGACTGCTTCTTATTGTTGTCCCCATTTGTATTTCTATCAGAACTGCTGCAAATAGGA